CAGTCTGTGCCGGTGGAGGCGTCATGAAGGCACGTAAGTCAGCCACACATGATGTTCTGCCCTTCACAGCGTCCAGCCAAACTTCGGAGCCGTGAGATGGTTTTAGAAAATCAAACTGTTACCCCGGACAGCTCAGGGTGGCCTTGGGAGGAGAATTCTGCAGCTGGTAATTTCAGCGGCGGACACCATAGTAAGTTGTGAGCTGAGTGCTGAAGGCCGTACCATCCGGGAGAGATGGTGGCCTTTGCGAGGACTCTTTCATGTCCCCTTCCATTCCTGGGCCTTGGCATTGCAAAGCCAGGCCCCTCACACTCCACCAGTGCAGATCTCTACATAGTTCTAGGAGCAATGAAGTGATCATTGTTTGAAACTTTTCCCCCCTCATTTGTTTTATGAAGCTATATGCCAACTTGATTCAAACAAAAAAACAGTGTCAGTGAATTGTCTCATTACACAAGGCATGTTTAGGTCAACGCTGGCAAGCCAGATCCGTTTTCCAAGTTCCGGGGGGAGATAGCATCCATATAGCTGCCGGCTGGCGAGGCGCTGGGTTGTCTGTGGAGCTGTGATTTTAAACATTAGCCTCCCTGGCATCCAACATATAGGAACCGTAAATACTCGCAGAGGCGGCTGCTGCTGCCTGGGGCCTTCAGCAAATTCCAAGTATTGACAGGAGGGTATTAAAAACGGCATTAAAAACACAACCAGCAAGGCTACGGAGGTAGATTTCACAGATGTGATTCCACCTCTGGAGCAAATCAATCTGCTCTGTGTTAACGGCGGCTCGGAACCCGGGGAGCAAACGTTGGCAAGGTACACCGCTCGATTCCGACTGCACCGACAAGTTCTTGCAAGCTCTGCGGGTCTATGAAACGCACCCATGTCTAACCCAGATCCGCAAGATGAAATGTGGGCCCCGGAGAACACTGAGGAAGGGAATGCCTCTGCTCAGTGCACCCCGTGGGCACGGCTGAGGCACAGGGACAGCTTTTTCCAGGCAGCAGATGGAAAATGGGAGGGGAGACTGGGCCACAGCAGAAGACAGTATAACATCGCCACAGAAGCGTTCCATGTGGGAGCCGCATCCTTGTTTGACCACATTATTTTGGCCACCGTTTGTCAAGCCTGACCAACCCCATGACACGCACCATCAGCAGTTTACTTAAGACTCGTTTCCTGGGGCTCATGGTTGTTTTTTTTATTGTTTTCCTTCTCATTCTCAAAAATGAGAGTAAAATATGCAACCTGATCCAGGAAGACGCTCTTTCATATTTCTTTTGACAGTACTTCCTGATACATTAAAAAAATACACATGGTTATCTATGCCCTGTGTGCAAAAACACTACACCCCACACCCTGGTTCACTTTTCATATTTTGATTCAAAACTGTTAGAACCGATACAGGAGCCAGACATCTGGCTGTGTTTTGGAGGCTCAAAGGAACCTACCAAGGGTCTGGCTACAGTTGAAAAGCCCAATGAGGAAAGGAAATAACCCTAGACGAAGCCAGAAACAGGTTTCTAAGGTTACTGATCATACCGGACTCATAATGTGAGCCTTGTCCTGTTTGTGCATAAATTCTTCTATTTCAGACGGCAGAGCAAATGGTGACGATTTAAACACGTATGTTCTGTTATCAGGGACACTGAGGAAGGTAAGCGATTTAGGAAACATCTAACATGAGCATCCTTATCTCTGAATTCTAACCGGGGCCAACCTAAGCTGACTAATTTTCAAGTCTATGAAATACTGAGATAAAAAGGTTTAAGTTTCTGAACTATTAACAGAAACTGAATGACCCTAACGCACTGGATAAGGAGGCAAATTTTCCAAGCATACCTCCATGGTTTATGATTACACTCCCCCACTCTTCCAAACATCATGCGACTTGGGGCCAAAGTCAGGTGTCAAACGCAACACCTGTCGTATTACCAGGGAGAATGGTACGTTTTGTGACTATTGAGCATCACAAAAGCTTCAGCGACAGTAAGATAATGCCTGTGACTTCCAAAGTCTCCATCGTCCGCTCATGACAAATGGAAAAGGACAGTCCTTGGGTTCTCCTGGGAGTTTGGGGGAGAGTTACAACCCACCGAGAGGAGAAAAAGTTAAATCCTCTGCAAAGAGCGAGCTGCAGAAATAGCTGACCCGAGCTTCTGCCCAGGCCGCCAGCTTCCTTCTGTCAGCAGTGCTGGGCATGCCCTTCCCGTTGAGTCAGAAAAGCCCAGAAGTTCAAACACATTCCCTCGGGGTCTGGGGACAAGCCAAGACGCACGGGGGCAGCCGTCCTACATTTCTCTCTCCCTGCATTTTTACCTTTAACCCCCGGCATCTTCCACAAACCTTCCCAGCACGCTCCCCGCCTCACCTTGATATGGGAGGCGTTAATGTAACCCGTGTTGTTTTCTTTGGTCGGTATCAGCTCCACGCGATTCTCCTCGTAGGGGACCACCTCGCGGATGCGGCTGCGCTCGGCATTTTCTGGCAGCGCCGCCGTGCTGAAAATGCCATTGGCTTTTTTCTTTGGGATTTGCTCGTATTCTGTGAACACCATGCCCTCCTCCAGCTTCTTCTTCAGGGTCCTGAACTGCAACAGAAATGGACCTTCAGCTCACTGACCGATCGCACCCCAAAATCCCAACAAAACCACCGGGTTTCTTTAAATATTGACAGCCAGGCTGCTGGTTAAGGCGTGTCAAGATGCCCAACGAATGCCTGATGATTTGGTCTCATTAGTAACCACAGTGCTAGTTTCTCTTATCCAACCACCAATTTCCTTCTCATTCACAGCTTCAACAGGACCCAGCAGCAAAGCCGGGCAAGAGGTGAAGTTCAAAATTGGTATCTGTGTCACTAACACCTCTGTGTAAAGTTTTAATGTGAGGAGATTGTTACTCTTCATGACCCAAACCCCCTTTTCTCCACGTATACAGCCCATTTTACTGAGATGAATATTAAGATGATGCTGGTCCATAATCCTGCAGTTCTGGGGATTATACCCCCCTCTCACTTTATTTTTCCCACGGCCAAACTACTAACTAAATAATAGGTACTGATTGGATTAAATAATTCCTCTAAAATCCCTCCTGGCTTTAAAAACATTCTAATACTTCATATATACCGACAGGAATCTAAAACCCTGACGTTATAAGCATTCGAAGCCTGTTTCTTTAACCTCTGATGGCAATTTCAGGCGCTCAAGGCACACTTTCCCCACCTCGGAAAGACTAACATGCACCTTATTCTGACCGTGGGTGGAGGGGATGGCGTTACAGAGAATTCTATAAATGCTTGGGTAAACGACTTACGTCCTAGTAAATGCTGACCATTCATAAACATCACAGACCCTGAGAGCGACAGCAATCGTTTTTGCAACTTTCTCGGGT